GTGGTCTATCTGAGACGGTGGTCTATCTGAGACGGTGGTCTATCTGAGACGGTGGTCTATCTGAGACGGTGGTCTATCTGAGACAGTGGTCTATCTGAGACGGTGGTCTATCTGAGACAGTGGTCTATCTGAGACGGTGGTCTATCTGAGACGGTGGTCTATCTGAGACGGTGGTCTATCTGAGACGGTGGTCTATCTGAGACGGTGGTCTATCTGAGACGGTGGTCTATCTGAGACGGTGGTCTATCTGAGACGGTGGTCTATCTGAGACGGTGGTCTATCTGAGACGGTGGTCTATCTGAGACGGTGGTCTATCTGAGACGGTGGTCTATCTGAGACGGTGGTCTTACTGAGACTGCTGAGCTGCAGGATGATGGACGACAGACTCTTGTTGGCTACAAACTCCAGCTCATCGCTGCCTCCCTCAGGTACAGCGCTGCGGCACAGGTGACGAGGTTGAATGACTCTCTTCACCAGAGGCATGACCTCCACTAACATGTGGACAACAGCGCCAGCTGGAGGACACAGAGAGAGAGAGACGTCATGATTTGATTCTTATACAGTTAAACCACGTGTTTCCTCCACAACTGACACTGAGTTCTGATCTGTAGAGACGGGTCAGTGTTCTGTTCCAACTGGGCCATGGATTAAAAATCAATTCAAATGTTGCTACAGAACAGAAGTAAAAAAAAAAAAAAATATTGCTACAGAAGTTAAAAAAAATAAACAAATCTTACCACAGATTTCCAGTGGTTCCTGTGGATTTTGTCCTTCATTCTTTTACAGTGAAGCTGCTGTGGTTCTGTTGAGCTGCTGTGGTTCTGTTGAGCTGCTGTTGTCGTGGTCATGTGACACCATCCACACAAATCTCTCCGTCTGTGTCCAAATCACCGGCTGATCCTGGAGGGATTTGGTCGGCAGATTTATTTCCATCATCCAATCAAGAGTCATCCTGCTGACTGTTAGCATCCAATGCTGCGGCCCCCCCCCCCCCCCCCTCAGAGTGTTTGTCCTGTTTTGAGGATATACCTGTGACAGGAAACATCTGTGGACATAGAACAGAACAGAACAGAACATTAGTAGCAGCAGCATCTGGTATTTTTAAGTTAAAGTTAAAGACAAGTTTTCAGTGTATGTAGAATATTTGTTAGTACACAAATATATTTGACAAGTACACGGTGAATATTCAGGTGGAAATGTACAAAAATAAAAAAATAAAATGTGAAAACATTGAAGTAGAATTAAAGCAGTGAAGATCTGTGGTCTGTTAATACGACAACCTGGATTAATACACACACACACACACACACACACACACACACAATGGAAATTAGTGATAATGAACTGAGAGCACTTTTTTTCTACTTTCAGGTTTGAACTTGACCAGAATTTTTTTTTTTACAAATGAATTATTTTCAGGTCAATTTTGCTGCAGGTATTGTCAGATAATCCCTGACAAATTGACCCAGCAGTGACCCCTGCTGTTTGACCGTCACAGTGACACAGTGGGATTTTTCCCATCACTGCAACTCTGAAATTGAAACAGCTACAGGTGCATTCTGGGTAATTTCTGTTCATCTAACTTCTGAGGCTCTAAATACATGGAACCTGTGAGGTTTTTTATGAGGCCGATGATTGGTTATCAAGGTATGATTTACACTGAGGCTAAACCTCTGGTTCCCAAACCTTATCTTCTTTTTTCCTTTATTTCCTCCTCCTCTTCCTCCTCTTCCTCCTCAGTTCTACATCAGTTCCAGTTCTACGTTGGTCCTTTTGTCTCAGCCTCTGAGTCTGAGGTTTGTAAATAATCAGTTCCCTCGTGTGTGGACGGACAGATTGTTTACTACTGTATCGTCGCGCCTTCATTACCATAACCTTACAGCTCATATTGTCTTTACAAATCAACCATCGCCTAATTATTCAACTGTTTTCTTCTCACAATGAGGCCCTTTTTTTTTTCTTTCTTTTTTTTTTTTAAAACACACCAAACCTTAGATTTTCCCAGAGTGAGGTGCGACACGTCACACCGCAGTGTGAAAAAACAATCGGCCGCAGCTTAACGCCCCATCAAAAGCCCCACAGTTCCTGAGCGGTGCACATAGCCATGGAAAGATCATTAAATCACTGTTTTACCACTTGACTTAATCCCCCGCAACAAAAGGGGAAGATACAAAACGCAGGGAGGGGGGAGAGAGAGAGAGAGAGAGAGAAAAAAACAAACCGGTGGGTGAGATTAAGGAGAAACTTGATGGATCCAAACTGACGGCTCTGTTTCCAGCGTTGCCAGGGGGAGCAAAGAACCTTGATTTCATCTCTCCCAGAGGAGGAGAGGCGGTTGGTCGATGGTTTCCCTCTTACCCCTGCAGTGGGCAGCCCCGGCTGTACTATCTGCCACAGTGGCCATCTGCCGGATTACCCAGCAGGACGGAGTTTTATAGAGAGCATCCCATTCATATCTGCCTGCAGAGGTTTACATTAAGGTTGAACTCGGGTGCACTTACAAAGACAGATGAATGAAGCCCCGTCGGTGCGACAGCGCCCCCTCCCTCCCTCTCTCCCTCCTCGATCTTCTCACTGATAGCACTGTGATGAAAGGAGCTGCGGCCTTAAGAGGATCTCATGCCACTGTCTGCTGCTGATTGGCCGACAATAACGTGGTGCCCAGCGTGAAGGAACACGTTTGTGCCAAGTCCCGATTGTTTGCATCGACGCAGCAACTTCTCTGTGTGTGTCTCTCTGTGTGTGTGTGTGTGTGTGTGTGTTACCATACAGGTGAACTCATTCCTGGGAAAGTGTTTTCTTCTTTCCCAGCCTCGTCGCGGCGATGGCGTCCCCCTTTTTTCCTCGGTCTAACGGGATTAGTCGTGCCAGTGCTACCCCGGCTGTCACGGTTCTGTCTACTTCCCATCTCTCTACTGGGCCTCTAATGTGATTAACCCGTTCCCTGTGGTCCAAATGGTTCTGGTCCGTGGGTAGAGTCGGGGCGCGGGGTGTGTTCAGTGGTGGGGGGCACGTCGGTGGCATGTTCCCTCCCCACATCCAACCACCGTTGGCACCTCTGTCAGCCAGGAAGGAGCGACACAGAGGTCAGTTAGGGGTCACGGAGGTGAGGGGGTGAGTCGTTATTAAAAACATGATTCTTTCATTTCAACCGTGTGGAGATATGAACCCCTGAATCCACGACCCTGAATCCCACTGAACCACAGCTGCCGTCACGAAACCGCACTGAATATTTACTACTCGCTTAAGCAGACGACGATAATAATCGCCGACGCACATCATCTTGTCAAACGTCAGCGTGGAGCGGCTTCGCCTGTTTAACCCACGTCACGCTCATTGTCCTCCTCCGGGGGCATCTGCTGCACACGGACGACCACATGGCCTTTGCCACCGTGCACAGGCAGGAGCCCCAGGACCACGGGTTTGGCCGGAAGCACGGAGGACGCAGAGCGCAGGTGTGTTCAACCTCTGGCCCTGGGACTGATCATGAATCTTAAATTCAGTGTTAAAAACACAACGTAAATACATTTGTATGAATCGTTTAAAGTCTGAAATGTTTTCGATCTTTCTGGAAAACCTTTCTGTTAAATATATTATCAGCTAACGTTTAGCTTTTTTTCTCACACTCATTTACATCTATTTAGTTCAAAACTTAGCAAAGAAAAATAAAATACAACAAAGAAAACCTCTCTAAAAGGTGAGCTCAAAGTTAGCCAAAATGGCTAAAAGATGAGCGTAAGGACAAATACATATATATTTCTATATATGTATGTCTATATATGTATATGTATGATACATGTTGACTGACTAGTGAGGTCATATATGACCAGATTCTTCCTGTCATTGAAAAGAATATGTTTTTAAATATATGTTGTCAGCTTCGTTGTTGTCCTGGTTAGCATCTTAGCACAAGAAGCTAAAATCAATTCAGTCACAAATGTCATGTGTCAAATCAAAGTCAAATGTTTGCTGAAAGAAACTGAAGGAAAATCAAAAACTGATTTAAAAAAAGTGTATAAAAGTATAAATTAAAAAGAAATAAAAAACAAAAAAAATAAAAGTATAAATTAAAAAGAAAGAACATAAAAATCCAAATGTCCTGATTGGAGTTTGAATCCTGAGATTATTTCTTTTCAGTTTCAGTTGGTTTTTAAATCTTACACCAGAACAAACAACAACAGTCCTCCACGCTCGCTGCGTGTTTGTCAGTTGCGTCACGTGAGCGCACAGCCTCTGTCAGCCGACGGCGTGGAGAATTAAGAGTCTTAATTAAGATTTTCATTGTGCCGTTCATGTGCAAGACAACGGGCCTGTGAATGGGGCAGGAATGTGGCGGCGGCGGCGGCGGCTCCATCAGCAGCTGGCCGCTCCCAAAGAACGTCCAGGTCCAGACCAGGAGAGGAGGAACCGGACCAGGACGTTCCACCATGGAAAACTAAATCACCAACAAACCTCAGGTTGTCATTTCATCACTGGGTTTGAACTCAATTTATACTTTTTTTTGTTGTTGTTTTAAATCCACAGACATGAGCAGCGGAGCGGCGAGTAAACAATCCATCATTGTAAGTGAAAGACAATGCGGTGTGTGTGTGTGTGTGTGGAGGTGGGGGGAGGGGGGGAGGTGCTGCCCCTTGTGTGGAGATTTGGTAAGTTTCCAATCCTGATATCCAGCCCTGCACCATGTAATGGAAGGCGACACTTATTGTATCAGCAGAGGCTAATGAGTGTCTAAAAGCCTGTGTGACTGTGTGCGCCCGGGAATCTCATCGTGTGTGTGGGGTGGCAGCCAGAAGAAAAGGCACAATATCTGACGAGGCCACGAGGAGCAGGAGCCGCGGCCCGGGGGTAAGAAAAGGGAGAAAGTGTCCGTCAGTGTCGCCCGACGTCGGGGGCACGTGAGGCCTGGGGGAGGTTGGTCTCAGATAGAGATATAAAGAGGAGAAAATGAGTGCACGTACAAAACAAAGTGACCCTGATCAGGTGACCCGGGGCTGCAGTTTCCCAAGAGCTGCCAAAACTCAACAGTTCTTCACACGAACGCATCGCCAAAAACTGCAGTACTACTGCGTGTGTGATACACAAACACTGCCTGCACTACAAGTATATAATAAATACCTTTAAAAGTGCAGTACAAATGGAGTAGAACAGAGTATATATAAAAACACACAGAGTCAGTGCTGATGGTAGTGGAAAAAATATGAGATATAAAAAAATATTCTTTAAAAAGAGGAAAAATAACTGTAACAAAAAATAGTTATAAATAAAAATAATTCACTTCCTGAAGCAAAATTCAGGTTTTTTTCTCTGAAGCTAAAATCTAAAAAAAACACATTTAACATGTAAAACGAACATAAATATAACATATATATATATATA